CCGGGACCATGTACCGGGACCATGTACCGGGACCATGTACCGGGACCATGTACCGGGACCATGTACCGGGACCATGTACCGGGACCATGTACCGGGACCTTGTACCGGGACCATGTACCGGGACCATGTACCGGGACCATGTACCGGGACCATGTACCGGGACCATGTACCGGGACCATGTACCGGGACCATGTACCGGGACCATGTACCGGGACCATGTACCGGGACCATGTACCGGGACCATGTACCGGGACCATGTACCGGGACCATGTACCGGGACCATGTACCGGGACCATGTACCGGGACCATGTACCGGGACCATGTACCGGGACCATGTACCGGGACCATGTACCGGGACCATGTACCGGGACCATGTACCGGGACCATGTACCGGGACCATGTACCGGGACCATGTACCGGGACCATGTACCGGACCATGTACCGGGACCATGTACCGGGACCATGTACCGGGACCATGTACCGGGACCATGTACCGGGACCATGTACCGGGACCATGTACCGGGACCATGTACCGGGACCATGTACCGGGACCATGTACCGGGACCATGTACCGGGACCATGTACCGGGACCATGTACCGGGACCATGTACCGGGACCATGTACCGGGACCATGTACCGGGACCATGTACCGGGACCATGTACCGGGACCATGTACCGGGACCATGTACCAGGACCATGTACCGGGACCATGTACCAGGACCATGTACCAGGACCATGTACCAGGACCATGTACCGGGACCCTCTCCAGTCACTGGAGCCTCTCTCTGGGTGTTTGCTCAGGCTGCTCCCTGGTCCATGGAGCCTCTCTTTGGGTGTTTGCTCAGGCTGCTCCCTGGTCCATGGAGCCTCTCTCTGGGTGTTTGCTCAGGCTGCTCCCTGGTCCATGGAGCCTCTCTCTGGGTGTTTGCTCAGGCTGCTCCCTGGTCCATGGAGCCTCTCTCTGGGTGTTTGCTCAGGCCCCACCCTGGTCCATGGAGCCTCTCTCTGGGAGTTTGCTCAGGCCCCACCCTGGTCCATGGAGCCTCTCTCTGGGTGTTTGCTCAGACTGCTCCCTGGTCCATGGAGCCTCTCTCTGGGTGTTTGCTCAGGCCCCACCCTGGTCCATGGAGTCTCTCTCTGGGTGTTTGCTCAGGCCCCTCCCTGGTCCATGGAGCCTCTCTCTGGGTGTTTGCTCAGACTGCTCCCTGGTCCATGGAGCCTCTCTCTGGGTGTTTGCTCAGGCTGCTCCCTGGTCCATGGAGTCTCTCTCTGGGTGTTTGCTCAGGCTGCTCCCTGGTCCATGGAGCCTCTCTCTGGGTGTTTGCTCAGGCTGCTCCCTGGTCCATGGAGCCTCTCTCTGGGTGTTTGTTAAGGCTGCTCCCTGGTCCATGGAGCCTCTCTTTGCGTGTTTGCTCAGGCCCCACCCTGGTCCATGGAGCCTCTCTCTGGGTGTTTGCTCAGACTGCTCCCTGGTCCATGGAGCCTCTCTCTGGGAGTTTGCTCAGGCCCCACCCTGGTCCATGGAGCCTCTCTCTGGGTGTTTGCTAAGGCTGCTCCCTGGTCCATGGAGCCTCTCTCTGGGTGTTTGTTAAGGCTGCTCCCTGGTCCATGGAGCCTCTCTCTGGGTGTTTGCTCAGGCTGCTCCCTGGTCCATGGAGCCTCTCTCTGGGTGTTTGTTAAGGCTGCTCCCTGGTCCATGGAGCCTCTCTTTGCGTGTTTGCTCAGGCTGCTGCTCTGAGGACCTGGCTCTGTCCTTTCCCAGGCGCTACATGTTTGCTCTGCCTCCGCTTTTCAAAGGCCACATTGATGTCGGTGCTGTAGTGAAGTCTGCAGGCTCCAGATGAAACCCTCGGTGTGTTGGTCCTGGTTTATTTGACAAGAGCTGTTTGAAAGTCTTCTTACTTAAATACAGTTGATGAGCAGGATTTACACACGGGAAGGAGATGGGAACTGAACCGTGGTATAGTGTAGGCCGACCAGTTCACATGTCAGAGGACAGCATCAAGGTAATACTGAGGGAGAAGTATGACTTTTGGAAGTTTTGGACGATTATGGCTCGGACTTTGATGGTTGAGCTGTATTGTTGTACTACGTTCATATGTTTGTATGGGACTCCACTTCATGTCATATCACTTATACAATACAATACAGTGTATTGTTGTATAGCCCTAGGTCACAACAGAAGTCATCTCAGAGACTTAACAAAACCATTGAAATCACCAACACAGGTCAGAGAATCAACAGTTAAAACACATGAAGAATAAAAAGCACACACAGAAGAAAATGTCCATACATGTTGTAGAATGCTAAAGTGTCCTGATCATCACCAATCCTTTCTGTTGGACACTAACTGTCCAACAAGACCCTCCTGCATCCACAAGGAACAACTCTTAAAAAACCCAGTGGGAAAAAGTGAGACACCTTGGGGAGAACTAGGGAAACCCACAATATTACCTGTGTTTTTTATGTGGTGCTCAAATGAATTTCCCCTGGTGGGATAAATAAAGTTGTCTGAATCTGAATCTGAAAAAGGTCACATTATTGAGCCTGGAGCTGACACCAGGGTTTTCTTTTATATTGGTATCTAACAGATAAGAATCCTTAGGAAAAGTGTTCTTTTGTATTTTATGTGCCTTGAGATGAATCTTTCTTGTTTTGTAGTTGGTCATCTGGACAAAGCTTACATTTGATAACAAATATAAATATATTGTAGGTCTCAGTAATGATTCCTATAAGTTACTTTCTCCTGCAGAGTCTCAAAGTCTATCTACTTTAGACTTTTCTTTAAGTGAGATTTATCTTTGTTAGTGTCATGTTGATAATTGTCTTGTAAAACCCAAATAAATCTAAGAAAATATTTTGAAAATAGACAGAAATGTATAATCAGAAATAGAACAATAAGTCTTTGTCATGTTGGTTCCACATTTTAATGTGAACTTCAGAAATCTTTTCACTTTTAAATGATTTTCATATTTTTCAAGTTTCCTTTGTACAATTTCCAGAATGACATTCATGCAGTTGTCTCATGATTTCATATAGCCACACATGCTAACATAGAGTTATATAGCCACACATGCTAACATAGAGTTATATAGCCACACATGCTAACATAGAGTTATATAGCCACACATGCTAACATAGAGTTATATAGCCACACATGCTAACAGAGTTATATAGCCACACATGCTAACATAGAGTTATATAGCCACACATGCTAACATAGAGTTATATAGCCACACATGCTAACAGAGTTATATAGCCACACATGCTAACATAGAGTTATATAGCCACACATGCTAACATAGAGTTATATAGCCACACATGCTAACATAGAGTTATATAGCCACACATGCTAACATAGAGTTATATAGCCACACATGCTAACAGAGTTATATAGCCACACATGCTAACATAGAGTTATATAGCCACACATGCTAACATAGAGAAGTGAAACCAAGAGTCATGCTCCTGTTTAAATATTAAATATTAAATATTAAATATTAAGATGGCAGCTCTTTGAGGCTGCTTCATTGTTCCTCACTGAGACTTCAAAGACTTCTGCACGAGTCTGATTTTCTTCCCTTTGGACTCGATGTAAAACACGGGATGAGGAGTAAAACTATATATTTGCATTTTCCCTGAAGCTGTGAAGGCGAGGGACTGATTACTGAGACAAACACTGCAACACCTTTAACACACAACCCGCAGATGTAATTAGAGATGTAATTAGGGAGGATTCGCTCACATTATCTGCTCATGGCGGTTATGAAAGTTAGAGTTTAAATTAAAACCATTCATCCAATCAGCCATGGCTCTGCCCACTCCGCACCATGTGACCTGGGACTTCAAATGAGCCGAGAATCTGCAGCACATTTATCAGAACGTTCAGCTGAGATACGTCTTTACTCACGGATACAGTGGACCAGGGCCTTTCTGAGTGGAGTTTGCATGTTCTCCCCGTGTCTGCGTAGGTTTCCTCCGGGTACTCCGGTTTCCCCTACCACTAAAAATATGTCCAATAGTTCTGGCATGTGCCTCCTGTACTGACCCCGCTCCCATCTCTGTGTGGAGTGAGAGACAAGTGCCCAAAAATTAACTATACATAGTTCCCACAGACCAATGAATGTCACATGACCTCCTCGGAGACGCCATCTTTGATGGCACGCTGCTGTGTTTGTGCATTCCATTAAACAGAAGAATGAGAATAAATGTAGATATTCAAACGCAAATTGGAAAAAAAGGGCAACTTTTGAGCAAATAATTGTATATTAATACAATGGCACCACAGTTTAACGTGCTACGGACATGTTTTACATATTTGATCAAATTATGCAGCAAAAATTAACAAGCAATGCAAACATTTCTCAAAAACTTTAGATTTAATACCAGTTGGAGCTCCATTTAATTATTTTAATTATATTAACAATTAATTTAATTAATGCTAATGCCACACGGACACTCTGGATTGCTGTTATTGTTTATTTCCGCGTTTTTAACCGTATGTTTTGGTGAATGGTGGGCAACTGATTTTTCCAGGCGTAAAGAGCAGTTTATTTTATGACACGGATCTTTTTACAGAAGCAATGCTGTTTGTGAACATTGTTTTAGCCCACCATAGAACTATTATTATCTATTTAATACATTTACGTTGCCCTCGAGAGCCTCGGACACGACACCGATCCTCCTCATAATAAAGTAATCTAAATAATGAAACTCTCAAGTTACCAGATATCAGCATACACAAGTTAGTACTGAGTAAATTACGTCTGTCAACACATTATAAGATACGATACGCACCTGACACAAAGTGCTCCGAGCATATTCTTCTTCATCCTTTGAAGAAGAATAAGAATATCCTCCTGTCTTTGATTGCACTTCCTGTCTGATTGCACTTCCTGTCTGCTCGTACTTCCTGTCTGATTACACTTCCTGTCTGCTCGTACTTCCTGTCTAATTGCACTTCCTGTCTGATTGTACATTCTGTCTGATTTTACTTCCTGTCAGCTCGTACACAGCTGTCTGTAGAACCTGTACTGACCACAGCTGTCTGTAGAACCTGCACTGACCACAGCTGTCTGTAGAACCTGTACTGACCACAGCTGTCTGTAGAACCTGTACTGACCACAGCTGTCTGTAGAACCTGCACTGACCACAGCTGTCTGTAGAACCTGCACTGACCACAGCTGTCTGTAGAACCTGCACTGACCACAGCTGTCTGTAGAACCTGTACTGACCACAGCTGTCTGTAGAACCTGCACTGACCACAGCTGTCTGTAGAACCTATACTGACCACAGCTGTCTGTAGAACCTGCACTGACCACAGCTGTCTGTAGAACCTGTACTGACCACAGCTGTCTGTAGAACCTGCACTGACCACAGCTGTCTGTGAAGCACTTTGTGACCTCGGTCTGTGAAATGTCTCTAATGTGGACAAAGACACAGGGAAACACGAAGCCAAAACCCACGAAAAACATGTTAAAAAAACAAGTAAAATAACTCGAAATCCAAAAGTGAAAAGTGTTGTTGTGATTCAGGGCGATCAGAGAATACACTGAACTGACGTGAACAGAGTAGAATGACCCGAGTGGAGCTGGAATCAGAGCGTTCTGTGAAGTGATGTTCTACTTATTTCATCAGTTTAATGATCGATAATGATAAACTCCTAAAGTAAACCATAAACTCAGAGCTGTGTCATCACTGTCCACACATAAACCACTTCTGTCCAGTATCAAAGCGTGTTTGGTCCACAGCAGTAACTACTTCCTGTGGCCCGGCGTCTCTGGTGACGGAGCTTTGTGTGCTGCATTTGGGCGCAGTCTGCACAAACAGAAGGGGTCGGGACAATGGGCAGCGTGCAGTGAAGAGCAGGCTTTAATGAGGCAGATGTCTGGCTGTGGGGAGAGCACAGATCTCCAGCTTTTGTTGTGCACCGGCTCGTCCTGTCCCTCTGCAGCTCTCATGGCCCTTCGCCCCCGACACCTCCCTCCACCCATTGCTTTTAATTATCCCACTCCAAATCTCTATTAGTGGCTGTATAATGGTCTACCCCCATGCATCACCCACACCCCTCCTTTCGCAATCCTCCAAACTCCACTTCTTTCACGTCGCGGAGCAGAAGCTGCCCTCTTTAGCCCCTGTCAGCCCCGTTGGCCGGGGTCTCATGGTTCTCACATTCGCTCTCGTCCAATCACAGAGCGGAGTGGGAGCAGAGCCCAATTAGATGACACCAGAAGCAAGAAATAAAAGCCAATAGCGGCTGTGATTAATGTATTCAGATTCCCTCGAGGGAGCGACTTTGCTGGAACTCCGTGTTATGCCCCGGACCCCTCCCTCGCCTCTGCTGCTCTTCAGTCCTTTATTGTTGGCGAGTGATAGAAGAATGCAGAGTATTTCTTTTAGAGGCACTTTTAATATGTGTGGCCCCCCCCGGATCGTCCCACTCTGGAGGTAATTACAGAGGAGTTTCAATAGATGGGAAATGTGTGTGTTTGAGCGGGTCCATGTGATGTGTATGAGACGTGTAGAAAGGAGCGGAGCTGGAGGAACTCGGAGCCTTGAGTGTTATTGTGCTCCAGCCCACGGCCCCAAAACACACGGCCCCCGGTAAATAAAACAGAGGGTCTTCAGGGGCCCCCAGCGGACCCTCCAAGACCTGTTGCTTTCTTTCAGCCGCTATTGTCCTGCATTGAGCCTGAAGTGTGTGACATCACCACTTCCTCTGTGAACAGGTGTGATGGCGGCAAGAGCAAAAATAACACAAACAAGCAGAAAGAGAGAAGGCTCCTGAGCACGTTCATAATTCATTTACTCGGAGCCACGGCGTCGTCTTTAAGAAGAGATTTAGCTCTCAAAGTGCAATTTAAATGTTTATACTGAAATACATATACTCCATATACTCCATATACTCCATATACTCCATATACTCCATATACTCCATATACTCCATATACTCCATATACTCCATATACTCCATATACTCCATATACTCCATATACTCCAGTACGTACCATTGTGGTTCTGTCACTGCAGCGTTCACTGCGCTCACATGTGAGCAAACATGTGTGCAAACGTGTGTTTTAATGTTGTGGCCGGATTTGTTCAAAACATTTTACTTTTAAAAGTAAAAAGCCCCCGCTGAAAGATCAAGGCTATGCTCACACTCAGAGAGCAGCCGTCCTCCTGTGGACTCACCACCTGCAGAGGGTCAGTGAGGGGCTGGTGCTATGAGACTTGGGTGGCATCTCTGACTGCCACCCCCCTGACCCAGAAATGGATTAAAGGGTAGAAAATGGATGGATGGATGGATGGAAGTAAAAAGAGGAGATATATTATTGTAATATTTTAATCTTTAACCAGGCTAAAGTAATTGGCTACATGTATCTTGACACATGGTAGCAGTACAGACCTGTGCTGGTCTGTGCTGGTCTGTGCTGGTCTGTACCGTGCCAGTCTGTGCTGAAACCATCAGTGTCACAGATTCCAAGTGAATGTAAAACCAAATGGCCACCTCAGGCTATAGTCACTCCAACATCTTGATCAGGAGGATTCCTTCATGGGCCTTTCTCTGGTGTTTTTAGATCAAGAATAAGATTTTAATCCGTTTCTAAAATGTGACGTATTTTTATTCATTAGAATGAAATGTTCAACACCCATCGTGCTTTCTCTGTATCGTATAAAACCAGCTTTGCATTTCTATTTCCCATTTTCACCTCCATTTTTTCTTCAGTCTTTATGACTGTTACCAATGGATGGATTTCTATATTTTGTTTCAGATTTAAATGAATAATTATACTTTTCATAGATGCATTATTGAACCTCACGTCTCACACCAGTAAAGCCCCAGTTTAAAACATTCATAAATGTCTATACAGACCACGCTTTCAGTTGAAATCTTAACCACTATGAGCCTGTGTAGCGTGGGTTTAGTGTCCCCCCATGTCCCCCTGACCCCCCCGAGGTCCTGCAGCCCCCCCCCCCCCCCCCCCCCCCCCCCCCAGGACATCCATTATATCTACTGTAAGCACAAACAAAGAGGAGGCCGAGTCCTGCAGATGACGGCGCTGGTGTGTGACACTCGGATTACTGCTGCTGTCACTGAGCCCGCTTCAGAACCTGTCTGTACACATTTTATTTTATTTTAATCAATTGTATTTTATTTGTATTAATTATTGTTCACTTATCCTGTGTTGTGTCATCTCTGAATCTTCATCTCACCAGGTTCCACACACACACACACACAGACACACACACACACACACACACACAGAGACACACACAGACACAGACACACGCACACACACACACACACACAGAGACACAGACACACACACACAGAGACACAGACACACGCACACACACACACAGACACACACACACAGAGACACACACACACACAGACACAGACACACGCACACACACACACAGACACACACACACAGACACACGCACACACACACAGACACACACACACACACAGAGACACACACACACACACACACAGACACACACACACACAAACAAAGTCACACACACACGCACACACACACACACAGACACACACACAGACACACACACACGCACACACACACACAGACACACACACACAGACAGAGACACACACACACAAACACAGGTGCCAGAGTGATACAGATCGATGTTTTCACTTATTAAGTTCATTTAAGTTCATTTAGGTTCATTTAGGTTCATTTAGGTTCATTTAGGTTCATTTAGGTTCATTTAGGTTCATTTAGGTTAGGGTTAGGGTGGTCTCTAAGATGTGAGAGAGCAGAGGAAGCAGACATGATGTTATTGTGAATACAGAGGCAAACCACTGGCGGGAGTCGAGCTCCTGCACCATACGTCTTCTTTATAGACCTGAATAATACGATTACATTTGCATATATTTACATAAACATGATGTCACCTGCTCATAACGTATTCCACTTTTCACAATCAGCCAATTAGTTTATTTTTAATCAAGTCTAATAATCCACTGCAATAAAATCCAGTCTAATGTGAGATCTCATGAGTCCGGACTGGACTGGACCCGTCTCTCTCTGGTCTTACTGAGTCTCAGAGACAGACCGGACCCGTCTCTCTCTGGTCTTACTGAGTCTCAGAGACAGACCGGACCCGTCTCTCTCTGGTCTTACTGAGTCTCAGAGACAAACCGGACCCGTCTCTCTCTGGTCTTACTGAGTCTCAGAGACAGACCGGACCCGTCTCTCTCTGGTCTTACTGAGTCTCAGAGACAGACCGGACCCGTCTCTCTCTGGTCTTACTCTGTTAAGAACCTGTCACTTTGTTCCTCCATTCGAGCAGATCCAGTAAAGTCTGACTCCTCTGATCTTCTCTCTGCACATCCGTCAACACAAAGTATATCCATCCATCCATCCATTTTCTTCCCCTTCATCCATTTCTGGGTCGGGGGGGTGGCAGTCAGAGCTGCACCCAGTCCACTAAGCACCAGCCCCTCACTGATCCTCCTGCAGCTGCTGAGTTCACAGGAGCTGAGATCTTTCAGTGGGGGCTTCAGGCAAAGTGGGGTTAAGTGTCTTGCCCAAGGACACAACGACAGCAGTCATCAGCGGGAGTCGTGAAGTAGGGCTTATGGTGGACTCGAACCCACGACCTTCAGGCCCAAAGGCCAATGCTCTACCCACTGAGCTACTGTCGCCATATTGCCACTATAACACAAAGTATAGTTCTATGGAAATGAGTTTGAACAAAAGACCATAGCTTCATCCAAGATAAGACTTTATCGATCTCACGCATGTCACATCTGGCATCTAGAAACACTCAATCACTAATGTCAGACAGATCTACAGCCTCAGTCCTCGTTCTACAGTCTGAGTCCTGGGTCTACAGCCTCAGTCCTCGTTCTACAGTCTGAGTCCTGGGTCTACAGCCTCAGTCCTCGTTCTACAGCCTGAGTCCTGGATCTACAGCCTCAGTCCTCGTTCTACAGTCTGAGTCCTGGATCTACAGCCTCAGTCCTCGTTCTACAGTCTGAGTCCTGGATCTACAGCCTCAGTCCTCGTTCTACAGTCTGAGTCCTGGGTCTACAGCCTCAGTCCTCGTTCTACAGTCTGAGTCCTGGGTCTACAGCCTCAGTCCTCGTTCTACAGCCTGAGTCCTGGATCTACAGCCTCAGTCCTCGTTCTACAGTCTGAGTCCTGGGTCTACAGCCTCAGTCCTCGTTCTACAGTCTGAGTCCTGGGTTTTAAGAGTTTTTCCTCTGATGCAGGAGGGTCTGTTGGACAGTTCGTGTCAGACAAGAAGGACTGTGATGACCCAGGACACTAACATTCTATGTTATGTATGACATTTATCACATGTATGACATTTATCACATGTATGACATTTATCAACATGTGTGACATTTATCACATGTATGACATTTATCACATGTATGACATTTATCAACATGTGTGACATTTATCACATGTATGACATTTATCACATGTATGACATTTATCACATGTATGACATTTATCACATGTATGACATTTATCACATGTGTGACATTTATCAACATGTATGACATTTATCACATGTATGACATTTATCACATGTATGACATTTATCACATGTATGACATTTATCACATGTATGACATTTATCACACGTATGACATTTATCAACATGTGTGACATTTATCAACATGTGTGACATTTATCAACATGTGTGACATTTATCAACATGTGTGACATTTATCAACATGTGTGACATTTATCACATGTATGACATTTATCACATGTATGACATTTATCAACATGTGTGACATTTATCACATGTATGACATTTATCACATGTATGACATTTATCAACATGTGTGACATTTGTCAACATGTATGACATTTATCACATGTATGACATTTATCACATGTATGACATTTATCACATGTATGACATTTATCACATGTGTGACATTTATCACATGTGTGACATTTATCAACATGTATGACATTTATCACATGTATGACATTTATCACATGTATGACATTTATCACATGTATGACATTTATCACATGTATGACATTTATCACACGTATGACATTTATCAACATGTGTGACATTTATCAACATGTGTGACATTTATCAACATGTGTGACATTTATCAACATGTGTGACATTTATCAACATGTGTGACATTTATCAACATGTGTGACATTTATCAACATGTGTGACATTTATCAACATGTGTGACATTTATCAACATGTGTGACATTTATCAACATGTGTGACATTTATCAACATGAGACGAGTCATGAAAAGCTTGGACCAGATCCGTGTTTATGTTGGTTCATGTTTTCTGTGACTGCACACGGCCCGTCGTGAGGCAGTGTATCTTTAGGAACAGGAAAATGCATTTGTCTGATTGAAATGTTCATAACAATAAAAACCAAAGTGATGCATAAACGTGTTTGTGTCGTAACGATCCACATGAACTCAGGCCTGTCATAAACCTCCTGTGTTTGTTTTCTGTTTACTGATGTTATTGTTGCTTCAAAGGACAGTTGTGTGTCATTGTGCGTCATGATCCCTCGACTCTTCAATAAAAGTGTCGCTCTCTTTCTGTCCTCGCTGTAATTATTATGTTTCTGAAACACTGAGCCGTCACAGGCACAATACCAGTTTCAGAAAACATAATATTACTTTTTGTCACGTGGTGGAGGGGAGAAGGACTCACACAAGGCAGGGATGTCAACAATAATGGTTTAGTTATGTTAATGAATAAAAGTCCAGGGAAACAACTCACGGAAAACAGACACAGAGACACAAGTCAAACTCATCAGGGACCGACAATAAAACAACGGAACACGGAGTCAAACTGAAATGAAACCGTCAAAATAAAACATGTCATGGCTCTACAAGTGCAGCTCCATCTTTTATCATTAAATTATGGTTATACATAAATAAATAATCCTCTGGCACTGCAGTCTATGATTTTATGTTCAGCCCTTATTGAAAATGCCTTTGATGAACCCTTTGCACGAGGCTGGCAGGCTTTTGCATATTCTCTCTCTGCCATCATTGCATCAGGGAGTTCCTTGATTGACAGATGGGAGAGGGTCAGGGCAGCTCTTGTACATGTTGAGATGGAGGCGTGTAGATCCATCAGAGTGGATCATGCTCTGCCCTCAGCCTTAAAACATCATGTAATAGAGTGATTATTCATTCATCTTATATTTTGGAGCCGACTTATATCCAATCTAACTCATAGTTCGTTTGACAATATTATATTAGTAAGAGACACTGCAGGGAACTGTCATTTGGCTGGAGAAATGGTAGAAGGCATTAGTTTATAGTTACATATTTCCTATTTTTCCCAAAGTAGTGGACAGTCTAAAGGAAGGGAAAGGTTTGACTGAAGAAAAATGTTCTTTGTCTGCAGCTGGATCAGTTGTTCCACAGCGGCGGTCTCCCATCCCAGTACTATCCAGGCCCAGCCCTTATACGTACTTGGTCTCATCACAGACTGGGAATACTGTAACTTCAGTGTCATTGCTGTTGTTAATTATTTTATTTACAAATGTTTAAAGAGTTTGTTTTTGAGGTGGGGTCACAATTCATTTAAAAACCAAAATACAACTTTATGAAGAAGACCACACCTCTTTTTACAGACTGACAAACCCGCGTTGGTTTGGCCTTTACGCAACTTTAATGAAGAGTGAAGCGCTGCAGTAAAGACAGACATGCTGCAATGCCTCCTGGGAACTCTGCACGTCCAAGTTAAGACCTTTGGTGTTGGGAAAGACACTTTTTTAATCCTTTTGAATCATTTACATTTTGGTAATTCATAAAAACCATTCATTTGGAAATACTGCCTTGATCCGACAGAAGAGAGACACAATGTGGAGCTTTTTGTTTGAATCAAACCTTTTATGTGACACAAAGCCACAGTTTTGATCCAAATGAAATACAATTAAACAAGTTATAATTTGGTTAAAAGCAAATGAAAGACGAGTTCATATGATGTAAAACATGAAAAACCAACAGTATAATGAGTAACAGTGATTTGAAATCTCATATCATCATTTTGTGACGGCTCTGCCCCCCCCCTCCTGTAGGTGGCTCTGCCCCTGCCCCCCCCCCCCCCCCCCCCCCTGTAGGTGGCTCTGCCCCTGCCCCCCCCCCCCTCCTGTAGGTGGCTCTGCCCCTGCCCCCCCCCCCCTATACCTGTAGGTGGCTGTGCCCCTGCCCCCCCCCCCCCTCCTGTAGGTGGCTCTGCCCCTCCCCCCCCTCTCCTGTAGGTGGCTCTGCCCCTGCCCCCCCCCCCCTCCTGTAGGTGGCTCTGCTCCTGCCCCTGCCCCCTCCTGTAGGTGGCTCTGCTCCTGCCCCCCCCCTCTTCTGTAGGTGGCGCCGGGACGGAGGGAGCCCTCTGTCTTTGGGGTGAAAATGATTGTTTTTTCAGATGTTCTGTGGGTCGGCGTTGCCCGCGGTGACGGTGACAGAGGCATTCTGGGAGAGAGGCTGTGGCCGCTCTTGGCAGGCCTCAGAGGCGTCAGGGCTGTTTCTGCCGGGACGTCCCGAAGCCGCAGCCGCCCTAATTAAAACCATACTGCTTCTCCCACACACACAAATATACACACACATACATACGTACACACACGTACACACACATATATATATATACAAATACACACACACGCACACATATGTACTGTATATACACACACACATGTGTACTGTATATACACACACACGCACACACACATACAGTATACAGACAGACACACACTACTACAAATACAGTAAAATGCAGTGTTTGTTTAATTCAGCTTACATTCCGCACGGGTGGAGTTAATGACTTTAATGCTGTCAGCTGAGCCCGCACAGCGGTGTTCAGTTTCAAACGCTCTCTTGTGGTGCTTTAAGTAAATGGCTCGGCCTCAGAGTGTTGTCATATGTGGTTAGACCCCACCCGACTGGTTTAAAAGGAGGTTAAATCAAACGCCATTAAAGAAGCTGTGCACCAGGTCTGACTCAGAAGCTGCTGAACTTTTCACACACTTCATAAACACAGGCACCGGGGGATCTGCGCTAATGGCGCATGCAGACGGTGCATACAGACTGAGCAGCAGACGGTGCATGCAGACGGAGCATTCAGACGGAGCATGCAGACGGAGCATTCAGACGGAGCATGCAGACGGAGCATGTAGACGCTGCAGCAGACGGAGCATGTAGACGGAGCATGTAGACGGAGCATGTAGACGCTGCAGCAGACGAAGCATGTAGACGCTGCAGCAGACGGAGCATGTAGACGGAGCATGTAGACGGAGCATGTAGACGCTGCAGCAGACGGAGCATGTAGACGGAGCATGCAGACGGAGCATGTAGACGCTGCAGCAGACGGAGCATGTAGACGGAGCATGCAGACGGAGCATGTAGACGCTGCAGCAGACGGAGCATGTAGACGCTGCAGCAGACGGAGCATGTAGACGGAGCATGCAGACGGAGCATGTAGACGCTGCAGCAGACGGAGCATGTAGACGCTGCAGCAGACGGAGCATGTAGACGGAGCATGCAGACGGAGCATGCAGACGGAGCATGTAGACGCTGCAGCAGACGGAGCAGCAGACGGAAAGTGAGAGACAGAAGCACGTCTTTTTCATTTCACTGTAGGGGCAGAGGTGATGCTCAGGTCTCTCCAACTCAACATTTATCTACATCTGAGGACATTTAAGGACAGTGGTCCTCTGCTCCTAATGGACCAATAACTAACATAAACATAAAGAAAGAAATAAACCACACACACACACACACACACCTCGTTGTGTGTTCTCTCTAGTTTTTAACACATCATTATTGTGTGGTGCTCTTGTGTTTGTTTGTGTTGTTCTAAACTAGTGAAGTCAGAATAACACGGTAAAATAACGGAGTCTGTCCACCAGAGAGATTCTCACAGTATGTTTCTTTAATGTTGTTTTTCTTGTGGAATATGTGAGCGTCTGATTAAAATGTACTTGTATTATTCTAGTCCTGCCTTGATGAGTACATTGTTGTGTATTTCCTTTGCCTTTAGCAGAACAAAAGTCACATTGGAAACACTTTTCAAAAGGCTCCACTTGTTCCAGACACAACTTTAGAAACAACATTATTTTTTCTTTCAAAAAAACAAAGCAGTTGAGAAAATGAAACTCGTTCAAAAACATCTGACACTGAAACGAGAAAAGCAGAAAAAACAAAACCTCCTGAGTCCTTTTCAATCCTATAACAGCTTGTGTTTGGTTGGTTTTGCAGTTTTTATCCACATTTCTTTTAATAATTATAAAGTCCAGTGTGCACAGTTTAACAAATGTTTGCAGAGTAACTGGAAGCGTCGTGGGCGGTGGCGTTAGCTTTTTGAGAAAAATGTCCACAGAAAACAGTTTTATATTTGGTCTGTCATCATTTACAGGGCCGTTAAGTTCACTGGCCCTGGATCCACAGTATTTATGGATCCACAGTATTTTGTGGTTAAGTTTAGCTCCTCAAGGCGCCATGGCTTCATGTCTACAAGTGCCAACATATTTGACAATTACAACACATTCAAACCAAAACTGCGGCTTCTGACTTTTACACATTGTTCAAACTCCTCATGCACTATCTCTGAGTTTCTTTACACACATTTCCAAAACCAAGACAAGCCTGATTTCATCGTCCCAGCCACGAGTCAAAGAACCATCAGTCAAAACCTTGTTAAGGCCAAGAGCTCCACAATAACATCCCACAGTTCCCTGGCAGCAGAGGCCGGTCTCTGCAATCTCTGGGTTTACGTAGACATTGGTAAAAGGACTCTCGGAGCAGAAGACGTTCGCTCTGACTTCACTTTATCACTCACCACTCAGTGTTGTGGTCTGAACCCACTCATTATTATCTTTCTCTGCTCGTCAGACCATCACTTAAACTCTTCAAGGCGGCGTAGGAGCACTTTGTCACAGCGGCAGAGTCACATTTAGAATCCAGTGGTAGAGGTTTGTCCACAGTCAATGTTTTAAATAAACATGTTTTATTCTTACAGTAAGTCTGCACAAAATCATTCCCGATATAACTTTTTTATAGCAGTGTGGTCAAAGTGTTGGTCTTGATGTTGTCTATTGTAAATGAACAGACACAATACCCAAAACCCAACGTAATTAAAGTTGCCAGGGCCATGGGAAGCTTTAAGAGAAGACAAAGGCAGTCCAAACAATAGTGTCATGATTGCAGAACAAAGGACTGAAAACAAGATTTAATAAACACAACTCCTCAATAACACATTCCAGGACACAACAGACAGACAATGGACCAACGAGAGCAGCCACAGAGTAAAACCAGGCACACGTGAGACACGTGAGGGCGGAGCCAAGGCCCGGTGAGCCAAGATGGCTCCGTATTCAAATCAATGGCTTGTGCTCAGTGGCGCCCCCACATGGGCACCGAAAGATTAGCGGAATTTGCCCATTTTGGGGAAATTGTTCTGGTCCTCCTGGTTCTGCGCAGTGGACGAGCTCCCATGACGCTTTGCGCCAAATAATAACGAGCAAGCGTGTGTGGCTCTCATGCACATGGCAGCGTTCTGACCAATCAGAGGGCAGCATTCTGACCAATCAGAGCTGCTGATCAGGGCGGAGCTAGAGCGGGAAGGAAACAAGCAGAGTCTGTTGCACTGAAGTGTGGATTTATCGAAAAACTGGGACTGATGTTTGCACAGTTTAAAACTTCAAAAAGACAAGAAATTACTTAAAAATAGTCAACGAAAAGTCTACATTGACAGTTTAAAGACAAACACGGATTTGTCAGCTTCTTAGGGAAAGCTAAAAGACATGATTTTGATGTTTCAAAATCTATTTTTTCTGATACATTTGTGCACTGAAACATGTGAATGCTGAGCTCCACTAAAACATTTTCTGATGTAAATCTGTGATTGAAGTATTTTCATACAGAAGCATGAGGGCCATAATCAGAATCAGAACCATTGTTATTGCCACGTAACAGGAAGTCACAGACGAGGAAACTGGTTTGGCTCTCTGTAAATGGGGAATAATGAACCAAGCTTCTTTCATATTCAGTGTTTGGCCTTTAGAAAATGGACACATGAATAATTAACTCAGTTTTAACTCACCATGGTCCTGATTGTTAATTGTTGCCCATAGGAAGGACATTACTCTTTTAACCAGGAAAGTCCCAGTGGGATTTATTTTTGTATCTCTTCATCTTTTTCTTGGTCCCAGAGAGAAAGGAGCCCCTGGATTACATTAACCACGGTTCAAAACACACATTTATATTTCTATGCATAGACGTCGGAACTAGGGGTGCGGCCGCACCCCCTCCGCGTGTGCCGGGAGCGAGAAGTTATCACTATCCTGCGTTCCTTGCAGCCCAAAACCCGCTCCATGCTGTCGGAGAAGCTTATGAAGCTCTGTCTGGCTAATATCTGTCGCAGCCTCTGAGCGCTCTTTCTCAGCCTTGCGCAGATTAGAGACCTGGCTACACCAGTGACGTGCGGTGGGGGATCAATCATGTGTTCATATGATTATACATCATATAAACCAACAGGACCTACAGGAACAGGAGCGGCTTATACACAATTTGTTTGGCTACAGCAGAATATGATTTAATGTCTGCATTGTTTTCTCATACAAAACGCAAACGTTTGTAAAAAGTACAAAGTGTGTTATGGGCCTTACCTTAGGTATTAATGAACAGCACAGACCACTTCAGTTAGGACCAGTTTCATGTTTAAGTCCAGATAATAGTTTGAGCACAGACATGTAATCCTCCATTTGGAAATAAGTTCAATGAGTTTTAAAAAGTAAAAAAAACGGGTGTCTCCTCCGTAAACTCCGAGTTTTGCTGCAGCCGACTCCCGGTTAAATCCAATTTCTAAATTCAACCTTACCCTTCACCTCCTTTTCTTATGATTCATATCATCATTGGAAGCAAAACATTACTCTAAGTGCATTTTAAATTATCTTAAAATGTATTATAGGTATGTTAGCCAAACCTGTAGCTGCCCTTAGCAGAAGAAGAACAAGAAAGGAGCTTTCTGATGGAATTGGATGCAGCCAAAGTTTGGGCTCACAAGCGCCCCCTTGAGGCTTTCCTCACTTACAAGCTGTGGTTGAGCGCGATTAAGACCCATATTTGCTTCAAAAACACAATTTATGAGCCATCCTCTTAAATGTAAACATGTTGATTGTAAATTAAATATTTTTGAACTTTTTAAACTGTGATAAACAGAGAAAACAGTTTGATAGCACCTCACAGGACTCTCCCTGTGAGCTGTTGCTTTTTACGTCTCCCAAGAGAGGCTTGCCTCACAGCACCGCTCTGTCAAATCTGCGATTTCAAGGTATAAATAAATGAAAAAAGGCACAGCACAAATCACTTGATAAAGTGACCAAACATTATTGTATCAATTTTATTACTTTTCTTTCTATGATCTTAGGTGAGGGCCTTGCCTGCCTCATCTGACCGCACGTCACTGGGCTACACAACACAATGAAGCCACCGGAGAGACTGACGCATGAATGCGTATTGAAAAAAAAAAGTGACTTGCTTGATATATATTGTTTATTTTGTTTTTCTTAACAATTAAGATGGTATGTTATTATCCAGTGTAATCCAAGTATGAGTCTCTCCCTCGACTCTCCCAACAAAAACCCGCCCCCCCTCTCTGAAAATAGTTCCGACGTCCATGTTTCTATGAATAAAAAAACACGTCAAATCAAAGTAGTCACTCTTTATAATGACTCTACATCAGGGGTCTCAAAGCGGTTCCAGAAAGGACCATGGGGTGTCCAAACTGAGCAGGAGCACAGGTGACTCTTCCATTTCCTCAAATCTTCAGGTTAAAACTGAAGTCCAGTTTAACCGGCTTCACCCAGGCATTACTCGTTGGGAAAGCATTTGGCCCTTACCCCAGTTGGGGCTCGGGCCTAATTATCTTTCTTTAAGTTTCTTTGCTTGATGCGACGCAGCAAAACAAAGAGTTTTACTTTGTTGAAAGAAGCACAAGTCTCTGGAAGACAAACACATGTGACGGACTCATTGTTTAAAAATCTTTGAGCTTTCATTGCTTCTGACCAAATGTTGATGTGAGAAATGTCCTTGGATATTAAACTTTCAGACAAAACAAGTATGTATTTAATCTTGAATGATTGGGTTTGTCTCGTCCCTTTCACTCTGATAATTTGGCGGACATCATATCATTAATAAAATAACAAACAGAACATTTGGACAGGCTTTACAGAGCTTGGAGGCATATTATTATTATTATTGTTATTATTGTTATTATTATCATTATTATCATGATTACAGTGGCATAGTGAAATATCCTGGAGACATCAGTAAAAAGCTTGTAGCCCTGACCCTGTGTTTGCGTCGCTGTCACCGTCAGGGGCCGAGGCTGAGGTCGGCTGCAGCTGTGAACATTTACTTTGGGATGTGCACATTTCTGTGAACATTTCTGTGGTCACGTCTCATCCTGACTCTGACTGTCACTGCAGAACTTCCATGATTCATGGTTTGTTGTGGTTTGTCCACAAAATAAAAAGCAAATATGTTGCTGTTTTATATCGGTGAGAAAAAGGGTTCAGATCCCAACATGTTTCTTTACTGGGCAGAATGGTTTTTATTTTTACTGTGATGCTAACTTTTACTCTGTTCTAATCCAACCTCAGACTTAATTAAACTTGAGATTTATAAAATAACATATTTTAAAACTTACACTGTCAGACCCATGTCATGTGTTGATACATAACCTGAGGGGGTTTAATCCCGGAGTCCACTGCAGAGTCCTTTTCCGGGGGCCCAGGGGCCCACTGTAGGAGCCCTCTGTAGGGGCCCCTACAGAGGGATCAGGCCCTGAGATATGAGAGAGGGGGCTGGGAGAGACCACTTCACAGACTCTCAGTCACAGAAACACTCAGAGACCACTTTAACAACAGCTGTTATCAGGACAGACTCAGTGTGTAACTGCAGGAACATTACACACATGAAACACGCAACACATGAAACACACAACACATGAAACACACAACAACAACACATCTGGATACGATCCCAAACATGATAAACCCATGTCATATGTAACATATGTAACATGTCAGACCCGTGTCATATGTAACATGTCAGACCCATGTCATATGTAACATGTCAGACCCGTGTCATATGTAACATGTCAGACCCGTGTCATATGTAACATGTCAGACCCGTGTCATATGTAACATGTCAGACCCGTGTCATATGTAACATGTCAGATCCATGTCATATGTAACATGTCAGACCCGTGTCATATGTAACATGTCAGATCCATGTCATATGTAACATGTCAGACCCGTGTCATATGTAACATGTCAGATCCATGTCATATGTAACATGTCAGATCCATGTCATATGTAACATGTCAGACCCATGTCATATGTAACATGTCAGACCCGTGTCATATGTAACATGTCAGATCCATGTCATATGTAACATGTCAGACCCGTGTCATATGTAACATGTCAGACCCGTGTCATATGTAACATGTCAGATCCATGTCATATGTAACATGTCAGACCCATGTAATATGTAACATGTCAGACCCATGTCATATGTAACATGTCAGATCCATGTCATATGTAACATGTCAGATCCATGTCATATGTAACATGTCAGACCCATGTCATATGTAACATGTCAGACCCGTGTCATATGTAACATGTCAGACCCGTGTCATATGTAACATGTCAGACCCGTGTCATATGTAACATGTCAGATCCATGTCATATGTAACATGTCAGATCCATGTCATATGTAACATGTCAGACCTGTGTCATATGTAACATGTCAGACCCGTGTCATATGTAACATGTCAGACCCGTGTCATATGTAACATGTCAGACCCGTGTCATATGTAACATGTCAGATCCATGTCATATATAACATGTCAGATCCATGTCATATGTAACATGTCAGACCCGTGTCATATGTAACATGTCAGACCCGTGTCATATGTAACATGTCAGATCCATGTCATATGTAACATGTCAGACCTGTGTCATATGTAACATGTCAGACCCGTGTCATATGTAACATGTCAGACCCATGTCATATGTAACATGTCAGATCCATGTCATATGTAACATGTCAGACCCGTGTCATATGTAACATGTCAGATCCATGTCATATGTAACATGTCAGACCTGTGTCATATGTAACATGTCAGACCCGTGTCATATGTAACATGTCAGACCCGTGTCATATGTAACATGTCAGATCCATGTCATATGTAACATGTCAGACCTGTGTCATATGTAACATGTCAGACCCATGTCATATGTAACATGTCAGATCCATGTCATATGTAACATGTCAGACCTGTGTCATATGTAACATGTCAGACCCGTGTCATATGTAACATGTCAGACCCATGTCATATGTAACATGTCAGACCCGTGTCATATGTAACATGTCAGACCCATGTCATATGTAACATGTCAGACCCGTGTCATATGTAACATGTCAGATCCATGTCATATGTAACATGTCAGATCCATGTCATATGTAACATGTCAGACCCATGTCATATGTAACATGTCAGACCCATGTCATATGTAACATGTCAGATCCATGTCATATGTAACATGTCAGACCCGTGTCATATGTAACATGTCAGACCCATGTCATATGTAACATGTCAGACCCATGTCATATGTAACATGTCTGGCCCAGTCCAGTCCAGGCCCAGTTCATGCCTAGTCCAGGCCCAGTCCAGTCCAGTCCAGGCCCAGTTCATACCTAGTCCAGGCCCAGTCCAGTCCAGGCCCAGTCCTGGCCCAGTCCTGGCCCAGTTCATGCCTAGTCCAGGCCCAGTCCAGTCCAGTCCAGTCCAGGCCCAGTCCAGGCCTAGGACATATTGAAACCATCTGCAGGCCAAAGCCTCTCTTGGGAATACCAGATGCCACAGACGGACAACTCAGGCTGAAACATTGTGTCTTTAGGCAAGACACTTTACCAACATGGCCAAGTGTGCACTATAAGCCACTACTTTATTCCATCTGGAGAGACTCGAACAGGCCAAACATAGAATTAGAATTGTATGTTGATTGGCAGGTAATCTGACGCTGCATGAATTACACATATGACAATAAAGACATTATTTTCAAGATTACATTTATTGTGCTGAACAGAATGTGGTTAGGATTTGGCCTTAGACCCCGGCAGAGCACTGCACGACTGCAGAAGGGGAAAGAGATGATGAGATGAAATCCCCCGGGGCCTAGACCCTGGTGGTGGTCCTCCAGGAGCCTAGACCCTGGTGGTGGGAGCGAGGAGAAGGATGAAGGAGCTGGCCTAGAACAAGGTGGAGATGGGGAGGAGGAGGGTTGCGGCATGAATGAAGCGACTGCTTGAATGGAGCCTCTGCTGCAGGTGAGGGTTTGCGTGAGGCGCTGCAGCTGAGTGTGATTGACAGATTGTTGCTGATTGACTGATTGTTGCCGTGAGCAACAGCAGGAGAACTGAGCTCTCCTGTTAGGGAGCGCTCAGAGCTGGGTTCTCAGGTCTTCCACTTTTGAATTTCTACTTCTATTAACAATGCAGCTTATAGCAATGCAGCTAATACGGTTATTTCTTATTGTGGAAGAGTTAGTTTTATTATTTAGACTAAATGATTATTATTGGGACATTCATTTATTGTTAAAATGTTCTCAGTCGAGTTGAAACAGTTTGTTTGGCAGTCTGTGAGCTAAGTACCAGCTGTGATGGACCATCACTGCTGGACCATCATGGACCACACACACAGTAAATCTCTCTCCTTGCTCAGGTCTGTGTCAGTCAAAGGAGCTCAGGTCTGTGTCAGACAGAGGGTGTGGGGCTCAGGTCTGTGTCAGACAGAGGAGCTCAGGTCTGTGTCAGACAGAGGGTGTGGGGCTCAGGTCTGTGTCAGACAGAGGAGCTCAGGTCTGTGTCAGACAGAGGGTGTGGGGCTCAGGTCTGTGTCAGACAGAGGAGCTCAGGTCTGTGTCAGACAGAGGGTGTGGGGCTCAGGTCTGTGTCAGACAGAGGGTGTGGAGCTCAGGTCTGTGTCAGACAGAGGGTGTGGGGCTCAGGTCTGTGTCAGACAGAGGAGCTCAGGTCTGTGTCAGACAGAGGGTGTGGGGCTCAGGTCTGTGTCAGACAGAGGGTGTGGAGCTCAGGTCTGTGTCAGACAGAGCGTGTGCAGCTCAGGTCTGTGTCAGACAGAGGAGCTCAGGTCTGTGTCAGACAGAGGGTGTGGGGCTCAGGTCTGTGTCAGTCAGAGGGTGTGGGGCTCAGGTCTGTGTCAGTCAGAGGGTGTGGGGCTCAGGTCTGTGTCAGTCAGAGGGTGTGGGGCTCAGGTCTGTGTCAGACAGAGGGTGTGGAGCTCAGGTCTGTGTCAGTCAGAGCGTGTGGGGCTCAGGTCTGTGTCAGTCAGAGGGTGTGGGGCTCAGGTCTGTGTCAGTCAGAGGGTGTGGGGCTCAGGTCTGTGTCAGTCAGAGCGTGTGGGGCTCAGGTCTGTGTCAGTCAGAGCTTGTGGGGCTCAGGTCTGTGTCAGTCAGAGGGTGTGGGGCTCAGGTCTGTGTCAGTCAGAGGGTGTGGGGCTCAGGTCTGTGTCAGTCAGAGGGTGTGGGGCTCAGGTCTGTGTCAGACAGAGGGTGTGGAGCTCAGGTCTGTGTCAGTCAGAGCGTGTGGGGCTCAGGTCTGTGTCAGTCAGAGGGTGTGGGGCTCAGGTCTGTGTCAGTCAGAGCTTGTGGGGCTCAGGTCTGTGTCAGTCAGAGCTTGTGGGGCTCAGGTCTGTGTCAGTCAGAGGGTGTGGGGCTCAGGTCTGTGTCAGTCAGAGGAGCTCAGGTCTGTGTCAGTCAGAGGGTGTGGGGCTCAGGTCTGTGTCAGTCAGAGGGTGTGGGGCTCAGGTCTGTGTCAGTCAGAGCTTGTGGGGCTCAGGTCTGTGTCAGTCAGAGCTTGTGGGGCTCAGGTCTGTGTCAGTCAGAGAGTGTGGGGCTCAGGTCTGTGTCAGTCAGAGGAGCTCAGGTCTGTGTCAGTCAGAGGAGCTCAGGTCTGTGTCAGTCAGAGGGTGTGGGGCTCAGGTCTGTGTCAGTCATAGGGTGTGGGGCTCAGGTCTGTGTCAGTCATAGGGTGTGGGGCTCAGGTCTGTGTCAGTCAGAGGGTGTGGGGCTCAGGTCTGTGTCAGTCAGAGGGTGTGGGGCTCAGGTCTGTGTCAGTCAGAGCTTGTGGGGCTCAGGTCTGTGTCAGTCAGAGGGTGTGGGGCTCAGGTCTGTGTCAGTCAGAGCTTGTGGGGCTCAGGTCTGTGTCAGTCAGAGGGTGTGGGGCTCAGGTCTGTGTCAGACAGAGGGGGTGGGGCTCAGGTCTGTGTCAGTCAGAGGGTGTGGGGCTCAGGTCTGTGTCAGTCAGAGGGTGTGGGGCTCAGGTCTGTGTCAGTCAGAGGGTGTGGGGCTCAGGTCTGTGTCAGTCAGAGGAGCTCAGGTCTGTGTCAGTCAGAGGAGCTCAGGTCTGTGTCAGTCAGAGGGTGTGGGGCTCAGGTCTGTGTCAGTCAGAGGGTGTGGGGCTCAGGTCTGTGTCAGTCAGAGGAGCTCAGGTCTGTGTCAGTCAGAGGAGCTCAGGTCTGTGTCAGTCAGAGGGTGTGGGGCTCAGGTCTGTGTCAGTCATAGGGTGTGGGGCTCAGGTCTGTGTCAGTCAGAGGGTGTGGGGCTCAGGTCTGTGTCAGTCAGAGGGTGTGGGGCTCAGGTCTGTGTCAGACAGAGGGGGTGGGGCTCAGGTCTGTGTCAGTCAGAGGGTGTGGGGCTCAGGTCTGTGTCAGACAGAGGGGGTGGGGCTCAGGTCTGTGTCAGACAGAGGGGGTGGGGCTCAGGTCTGTGCTGAGTGGAGTCTGCAGCATCTTAAAGGGAATCCTCCTTCCCTCCCTCATCATCTGTGGACCACATGGTTCTAACTCCGAGTCCTGCCGTGGATCTCGGAGCCCCGCGGACTCACTCTGATCCTCGGCCAACACAATCTTCTGCTGCCGCTGGACATTAGTTCTGAGGATTAGTCGTTTCCTTCTGAAAAGTGCTCCAACTATTTTTAGCGTCCTTTTTGATGAAGGATGATATACAATAACCTGCTCTTCCCACTTCCTGGATCACTCTAAAAAATGATTTGTGACTTTGAGTGTTTCCAGGAAGCGTCTGCGGCTCAGAGAGAGATCTGCAAAACGTCAAATGTTCAAACACAACAAACTCCGACGATAAAACAGGTGATTCACGTTCTGACAGTACTCTACTTCTGACCGAGGTGAAGGCTTTTTTGGAGTAGATTTTCATGTTCTTGTGCTGAACTTGAGCTATTTTTGTCTTTTAAAAATAGCTTTATAGATTTAACAAACATAATTGGGAGTTTCTGATGTTTAATCCAAGAAATATCCCTGGGATTGATCAGCACAAATTTGAATATGTAAAAACTAACCGCTATGATGTTTGAAAATGCACTGATTCTCTGCTTTGTAAATGTAACCGATGTAAGCAGAGGGTTCGTTTATGATGTATCGGCTGCAGAAGATTCTTTAACCTTCCATGGAACTCCCGGTTGAACACAGAGAAACCAGTGCAGAAAAACACTCCAAATGAAGAATAAAAGTAGTATATTATTGTGGTCTTCTTCCCCAACATTTCTCTGACCCTCACATCCTCCCATCTCTCCCTCTTTACACAACTACGGTGCATTCCTGGTCCTTCTGTGGTTCTCCAACACTTTTCTACTGCTCCAATTAACTTAACACTGAGGTCTTCACCAAAATGGACCCGCGAGTCTCCGGTGGGTTTGACTTATTCTCCGCATTTATTGATTTGTTTGTGGTCTGGTTCTGAAACGGCACTTCTTGGAAAGACGACGTAAACGATTCATGAAAAACACAGACCGCAGGAAGTTGTCATTTACTTTTGCACAATAACAAGAAGGAATGTTTCGCTTCTCCAAATTATAGTGTGTTCTGTGTAATTGACATTGCATTCACATTTGAGGAAGTTCTGACTGTGGTGAGTCCAGAAGGTCAGACAGCAACACAACGACGGAGGAGGATCCAGGACTAGCTACATGTTCTGATATAGAGGAGAGACAGTGTTCATTTGTGCATCTGACAGTTACAGCTCATAGTCCATGCACAGGAAACTTGGATATGATTCTTTTCTCATTTGGACGTCGGCTTCTGCAGGATCTATACTATGCTTTTTACGATGCACAGAGAATTGGCGTAATATTGAATTGATCGTCTACATTAAAGATGGAACGATAACCAATATTAAAAACCATGATATTAATCCGGCCTTATTTCTAACTCACAGGGTTCGTGCAAAATGCAGTGTTCACAGATTGTTTTGTTGAAATCATATTGAGCCACAGAATTAGTCAAAAGCCAGGATGGTAACGAAGGCTCCAAAGTACAACCCTAACATCCAATTTATCTGGCTTTATTGGAGCAATAAATACATTTACATTAAATACAAGGGCGACAGTGGCTCAGTTGGTAGAGCATTGGCCTTTGAGTCTGAAGGTTGTGGGTTTGAGCCCACCACAAGTCCTACTTCACGACTCCCACTGATGACTTCTGTCGTTGTGTCCTTGGGCAAGACAGTTAACCCCACTTTGCCTGAAGCTCCCGCTGAAAGATCTCAGCTCCTGTGGACTCAGCACCTGCAGGAGGATCAGTGAGGGGCTGGTGCTCTGTGTCCTGGGTGCAGCTCTGACTGCCACCCCCTCGACCCAGAAATGGATTAAGGGGAAGAAAATGGATGGATGGATGAGCATATAAATTAAACACAGTAATATTACATGATGAGTTTACCAAATTAATTAATTCTACGCCCAAAGTGGATCGATGTAAAAAACTTTAGTCTATTCTTCTGGGAGCACTGAGGCTCTGTGTCCAGCTCTATGTGTAGCTGGCTGATGAGGTGGACACTGGGCCAGAGGAGGGTGACCTCTGACCCCGGGTCTGAGGCTGGTCTTGATAAAGACTTTCATCAGGACGGCTTAAAGAGCAGGTGATGGGATATTCAGCTGTCTACTTTTGATTGACAGTTTGGAGTTCATCACAACATATAACTATATGTGGAGATCTTTTAAGTCACTTCTTCTTCTTACAAAATGGGCTCTTACCAATGTGGCCAATCAGATTATTACTGTAGGATTATTACTTTAATCCAATGTTCATTTGTGCCTTTTCATTCCAGATTTATAATATTCTGAACATATGACCAACAACAAGTGATTAAACACAAATGGAAGTATTGATACATTGATGTTGTTGTGATTGAGAAGTCTCTGCTCAGACTGAGCTCCAGCAACGGAAGAAACACCCTGTACCCCAAGGTTACACAGAGCTGCACACAGAGCTGCACACAGAGCTGCACACAGTGCTGCACATAGAGCTGCACATAGAGCTGCACATAGAGCTGCACACAGAGCTGCACACAGAGCTGCACACAGAGCTGCACATAGAGCTGCACATAGAGCTGCACATAGAGCTGCACACAGAGCTGCACACAGAGCTGCACACAGAGCTGCACATAGAGCTGCACATAGAGCTGCACATAGAGCTGCACACAGAGCTGCACATAGAGCTGCACATAGAGCTGCACACAGAGCTGCACACAGAGCTGCACATAGAGCTGCACATAGAGCTGCACATAGAGCTGCACACAGAGCTGCACATAGAGCTGCACATAGAGCTGCACACAGAGCTGCACATAGAGCTGCACATAGAGCTGCACACAGAGCTGCACACAGAGCTGCACATAGAGCTGCACACAGAGCTGCACATAGAGCTGCACATAGAGCTGCACACAGAGCTGCACACAGAGCTGCACATAGAGCTGCACATAGAGCTGCACATAGAGCTGCACATAGAGCTGCACATAGAGTTGCACATAGAGCTGCACACAGAGCTGCACATAGAGCTGCACATAGAGCTGCACATAGAGCTGCACATAGAGCTGCACACAGAGCTGCACATAGAGCTGCACATAGAGCTGCACATAGAGCTGCACATAGAGCTGCACACAGAGCTGCACATAGAGCTGCACATGTTTTCTCATCAGTCCATTCTGGGGATGTGGGAAGGGTCTGCTGTGGATGGATATTTTTGCTTCCAGGTTGAAACACTTCCTCCACAGCTCACAATAGACACTATTTTCTTTCTCATTTCTGAGTCTGGGATCCTGGAGTCTGGAGTGTTCGAGGCACCGGCTCCATTTCCCACAATCACTGGCAATAGAACAATATCCAATTATCCACCGTGAGCCAGCTGTACTCTGGGATACGCTTCTCACTGGGGACTCTTCCACCTGCTCCACTACAACGTGCATCGGGAAAACGAGAAAGAAATCATCCTTGTGGCGCCTGTGGCTGGAAACTGTTCTTTAGACTTCGTTTGGAAATGTCTGATTTAAATCATTTACAGATAATGTGGACAACACTTGGTCTGATGAAGAATTACAGTCCTGTATTTATGGAGTAGTTTTAAATGCTAACTTAGTCTTGGTTAGGTTTCCTTTTGATCAGAACATTATGTATGTTACATTATGCAAAATGTGTTTTAGAAAAAAAAAAAATTATATATCTATATAAATAGTGTGTTAAATGCATCAATGTGTGTATTTTTGGTGTAAATGGAAAAGCTCCTCATGTTTCTGTTTCTCCCTGAGGTTTCTTTGCCCACTGGGTTTTAGAGTATTTCTTGACACAGGATGCTGTAAAGCCGTTTTCGAGAGGTAAAAAGACGCCATACAAAAGCATTGGATAATTCTCTTTCCGGGTACACCCCCACAGGCCCTCTATAGATACTTCAGAATTATGAAATAAAATGTGTTTGATAAGGGCTGTTGTACTTTAAACAGTAAAAGTCGAAGTACTGGTGCCTCTGCTTTCGACTGAAATGTTTTGTCTGCGCAGAGAAGAACACCTCGTTACATTTGAGCTGAAACAGGCAAAACCACACAGTGATATTTATTGGCAAAATGGTCAAAACAATTAAAAAAGGAGACATTTCTGAATCCACAGTTATGACGGTTTGTTGCAATGAATGAAAGTATTCTGCAAACAAAACAAAATCAACAACTCCAGGTTTGTTTGAGGGAAAGTCCAGTTTGGGGTTTAGTAAATGTATTTTTACAAAGTTTAAAGTTTAGTTTCTGTTCTTTTCTGATCAACAAAAATTTCCTGTTTCCTGTTAAAGTGTTAAAGTGTTACTTTTGGGTTCTCAAGCTTCACAGAAGCCTGTTATTTGAGTTTCCAGTTTATTGAAATTAAATTAAATTCAATATATTCAGTATGGCCCTAAATCACAGCAATAGTAATATACAATACAATACAATGTATTCTTGTATAGCCCTAGGTCACAACAGAAGTCATCTCAGAGACTTAACAAAACCATTGAAATCACCAACACAGGTCAGAGAATCAACAGTTAAAACACATGAAGAATATAAAGCACACACAGAAGAAAATGTCCATACATGTTGTAGAATGCTAAAGTGTCCTGATCATCACCAATCCTTTCTGTTGGACACTAACTGTCCAACAAGACCCTCCTGCATCGACAAGGAACAACTCTTAAAAAACCCAGTGGGAAAAAGTGAGAAACCTTGGAGGAGAACTAGGGAAACCCACAGGGAGGGAGACCCATATGAGAAAGGGATCCGCTCCTCCGGACGGACAGACTAATGATCTAGGACCTAAGCTAGCTACAGGACGTGGACCAGTGGACGCTGAACGTGGACAGGTCCGGTGCAGGACTGAAGCACTCCCAGGCGGGTCGGGCGGGGCAGTCCGCAGGTGTAGATGGAGGAGGCCAGGCTCGGAGATCCCGTCATCGTACCATGAAACAGACAATGGGACAACGGGTGAATAGCAATGAACAAACTACAGTCAAAATCCTAAAAATGATAAACAGATAAAGTAGGAAGGAGGAGAGGATAGTGCTCAAGTTACCATACTTCTCCAGCAGGGGGCGCCCTATGCAGCTTGACTGACAGTCTGAGGAGTTTAACCTTCCCCGAGTCTTACCTTCCTAGCCATATGCTAAACTAAAGAGGACTGTTTTAAACCTAGCCTTGAATAAAGAGAGCGTATCTGAAAGGAGGCGAGACAGCAGCAGCCACGGCTAGGCTAGGCTAGGCTACAGCACCAAGACTCATGGATTACACACCAGGTGTGCCAAACCGATCCAAGCAAACCTAATTATATATTATATATCATATACATCATATATACCATATATACCATATATATCATATATAATACACAACATAACATACAGCATAATATATAACAAAATATACAACATAACACAATACATTATTGAATAATATATAACATAATACAGCATACATATATAATATATACACCATATATTATATATTACCTAATTATATGCTAAATTAAAGTAAAGTGCTTTAAGCCTGGCCTTGAATGTGGAGACCGTATCTGCTTCCTTAACATAAATGAAGCTGATTCCACAGTAAAGGAGCTTGGAGCTAAATGCTCTGCCACCAACAGTGACCTTTGAGACCTTAGGGACCACCAGACGTCTGGCGTTTTGTGAGCGCAACGCTCGACTTGGTTGATACGACACTAACGTGTCTTGGAGATAAGAGGGAGCCAAGCCATTTATGGCTTTATATGTTAAGAGAAGGATTTAAAACTTTATTCTGTACTCCACAGGAGCCAGTGGAGTGATTTTAACACCGGAGTTATGTGCTCCCTCCTTTTGGTACCTGTTAAGATCCTAGCTGCTGTATTCTGAACGAGCTGGAAGCTCTTCAAAGAGGCTTTAGGGCACGCTGCCAGTAAAGCGTTACAGTAGTCGAGCCTTGAGGTGACAAACGCGTGAATAAGTTTTTCCGCGTCACTTTTAGGAAGGAAATTCCTAATTTTAGCGATGTTCCGTAAGTGGAAGTACGCCGTTTTAGTTGCTTGGCTTATATAAGCCTTGAAGGAGAGCTCTTGGTCAAAAATGACTCCAAGATTCCTCACAGTGTTACTGGGTATAATACTGACATTATCAGAGTAATTATCTGGTTAGTGAGGGAGTCACGCAGGCGCTTCGGACCGAGTAGGATCACTTCTGTCTTCTCCGGGTTGAGAAGTAGGAAGTTAAGAGTCATCCACATTTTAAGGTCCTTTATGCAGCACTGAGCTTTTCCAGCTGATCTGTCTGGTTAGGCTTCATCGACAGATAAAGCTGTGTGTCATCTGCAGCAGTGGAAATTAATTCCATGCTTTTTAATAATGTTTCCTAATGGCAGCATGTAGAGAGTAAAAAGAATCGGTCCGAGTACCGAACCCTGCGGCACACCGAATTCCACTCCAGAATAAGACGACGAGTCCTGATTCACATTGACGAAGTGATATCGATCTGATAAATAGGATTTAAACCAGCCAAGGGCTGTTCCTCTAAGACCTATATCACATTCTAGCCTCTGCAGTAGAATGCTGTGGTCTATTGTGTCAAATGCAGCACTAAGGTCCAGTAGGACCAGCACTGACACTTGTCCATTATCAGCAGCTAGTAGTAAGTCATTTGTGACTTTGACTAGTGCCGTTTCAGTCTATGATGAGCTCTGAATCCTGATTGAAAGACTTCAAACATATCATTTTCCTGCAGGTGGCAGCGGAGCTGCTCAGCTATAAGTTTTTCCAGGATTTTAGATATAAAAGTGAGGTTTGAGATCGGTCTGTAGTTTGTAAGTATTTCTGGGTCCAGGTTTGTTTTCTTCAGAAGGGGTTTGATTACCGCGGTTTTAAAAGCTTGTGGGACATAGCCACATTGTATGGATGCGTTTATTATATTTACGATAGGCTCAATTATCAAAGGAAGTATGTCTTTGAAGAGCCATGTCGGGACTGCGTCTAACATGCAAGTTGAGGCTTTTGAGGATGTGACCACAGAGATCACCTCTGCTTGGCTCACAGCCATGAATTTATCAAGGCCCACTGAAGAGTCTAAGTGGGAAGTCACGTATGCCGCTTCAACCTGTCCACCACTAACAGCAGGAGCAACCTCCTCCAGCTTGTCACGGATGGATGTAATTTTATTATTAAAGAAGTGGAGAAAGTCGACACTGCTCAGTGAGCTTGGAATTTTAGGCTCGATTGCGCTATGGCAGTTTGTGAGTTTAGCGACGGTGCCAAACAAAAATCTACTGTTGTTTTTATTCGCTTCTATTAAAGTTGAATAGTATTGAGTTCGAGCCCCGCGAAGGGCCTTCTTGTAGTTTCGGAGACCTGCTTTCCACTCCCTGTGGACAGGCTCCGAGTGGGAGTGGCGATATAGCCTCTCCAATTTTCTGACGTCCTGTTTTAAAGTGTGGAGTTGAACACTGTACCAGGGCGACGATGATCTAATCCTAATGGTTTTCTGTTTTAAAGGAGCTGCTGCATTTAATGCAGATTTTAAAGACTCCATAGTGTTGCCCACCGTTTGGTCAATGACTGAGGGACTGCAGCAGCTGTGAACAGGTTCACCTGCAGCAGTATTCAACATAGGCTGTATTAGTTCTTTGAACCTTGTGATAGATTTATCATTTAAGGTTCTTTTCATTATGGTTTTATCTTGCGGGACAGGAAAGTCCTCCAAATCGAGATCAAACGTGATCAAGAAATGGTCAGACAGCAACGAGCTTTGACGCTGGATGTCAACATTGGAGACATCACAGCCGTAGGTCAGGACAAGGTCCAAGGTGTGGTTATGAATGTGAGTAGGTTCCTCAACATTCTGAGTAAAACCAACACCATCTAGTACGGCGCTGAAAGCTTTGTTTAAGCTGTCAGTGCTGTCGTCCACATGTATATTGAAGTCTCCAGCTATAACTATGTTTTCCCATTCCAAAACTAGGTTTGAAATGAAGTCAGAGAATTCTGTTAGGAACTCGCTGTAAGGACCAGGAGGTCGGTATAAAACTATAAATAGTACTGCTTTTTGTTTTCTCCACCCAGGACAGGTGATTGAAAGTGTTAAGTTTGCAAACGAGTGAAAAGCGTTGTTGGTTTTGGGACTAAGAACCAAGTTGGTGTGTGATATAATCGCAACACCACCGCCGCGACCTGTAGCTCTGGCTTTCTGGTAGTTAACATGCGTCGGAGGAGTGCACTCATTCAATCTAACGTAGTCGTCCTGTTGGAGCCAAGTCTCCGAGAGCGCAAACAGATCCAAGCCCTTGTCTATAATAAGTTTGTTTATGAGAAGCGATTTAGACGAGATTGACCTGACGTTCATTAAACCACATTTAACAACCCTACTGTTAGAACTATTTCTGTCTGTCTGAACTTTTATTAAGTTACTGTGTCTGACACCTAGGTCAGATTTCCTCGCATATAGTGCTTTAGACTTCAAGCGAGGAACACACACAGTTTCAATCTGACTAGGTTCTGAGGCTAGTAACTGAGCACACACAGGCACACACACACATGCACACACAGTTTCAATTTGACTAGGTTCTGAGGCTAGTAACTGAACAGATGGGGGCTCAGAGGTTGTGGCAGAGCAGCTCTGCACCCGGGCCTCAGTTCTGCATCGTCATTTGAGCCGAGCAGAACAGTTTAGAGCCAGGGCCAAATTCTTAGCCAAAAGGGATGTACCCGCCAACGTTGGGTGGATATCATCCGAGCGGATGAGACCGGGCTTTCCCCAAAAGGCACTCCAATTGTCAACATGAACAACACCACTTGGAGGGCACCAGCCAGACAGCCAGCGGTTGAAAGCCGAGTGTCTGCTGAATGCTTCTGCACTGCTAGTGCTAGGTAGGGGCCCAGAGAAGATGACAGTGTCGGCCATTGTGCTAGCCAGCTTGCACACGGCGGCGACTTGCAGCTTCAACACCTCGGACTGTTTCCGCCGAACGTCATTACCACCCGCGTGAATAACAATTCGACGGAAACGCTGCTTGTGGGTCATCATGAGCCTCAGATTCCCTTTCAGAGGACTTTACAAAGTTGTTGATTCACCAACACAGATCAGAGAATCAAAGGACATGCAAGAATACAAACACGTTGGAGCCACTGGTCCATGCTCAGAAATATTCTGATCTCTGTCCTCTGGTTTAGAATGTGTTAAAAACCAGAGAGGAACAGGCCAAAATTCATCTTCAACAATGTTCAACTCTCCAAATGTTTTCTTTTGCTCAGGTCTTTTTCTTTATCATGAAATGTTCACAACGAGCACAGACGAGTTTTGTTATCGCATAAGAGAAGAATCAATAACAGAGAGCTGATTAATACACAGAGACACACACATACGCACACACAGACACACACATACACATAGGCACACAGACACAGAGACACACACATACGCACACAGACACACACATACACATACGCACACATATGCACACACACAGAGTCACACACACACAGACACAGAGACACACACAGACACACACAGACACATACGCACGCACACACACACACGCACAGACCCACACAAACACACACAAGCACACACACACAGACACACACACACACAGACACAAACACACGAGCGCACACACACATAAACTTACACACACATACGCACACACAGACACACACACACACACACACACACACACACAGTCACACAGTGAAACTAAGATAAGTGTGTGTTCCGTGAGATCTAAATGAAGTCTGTAAAGTCCTGAGCAGTTGAGGATCCTCTGGACCTGGTCCAGTCTGTCGCTGATCCAGGTCTGAGCCCAACACCTCCAGCTGTGAGCAGAGGCCCGAGAAGAGGCCCAAGGAGAGGCCCGAGGAGAGGCCCGAAGAGAGGCCCGAGGAGAGGTTCGAGGAGAGGCCCAGGGAGAGGCTTGAGGAGAGGACCGAGGAGAGGCCCAAAGAGAGGCCCGGGGAGAGGCCCAGGGAGAGGCCCAGGGAGAGGCCCGGGGAGAGGTCCGAGGAGAGGACCGAGGAGAGGCCCGGGGAGAGGCCCAGGGAGAGGCCCGGGGAGAGGCCCGGGGAGAGGCCCGGGGAGAGGCCCGAGGAGAGGCCCGAGGAGAGGACCGAGGAGAGGCCCGGGGAGAGGCCCAGGGTTCCCCACATCACAGGGTCAGCCACGGGGCCATGCAGGGGTCTGCAGGGGTCTGCTGGGGCCATGCAGGGGTCTGCAGGGGTCTGCTGGGGCCATGCAGGGGTCTGCTGGGGCCATGCAGGGGTCTGCTGGGGTCTGCTGGGGCCATGCTGGGGCCATGCAGGGGTCTGCTGGGGCCATGCAGGGGTCTGCTGGGGCCATGCAGGGGTCTGCTGGGGCCATGCAGGGGTCTGCTGGGGCCATGCTGGGGCCATGCAGGGGTCTGCTGGGGCCATGCAGGGGTCTGCTGGGGCCATGCAGGGGTCTGCTGGGGCCATGCTGGGGCCATGCAGGGGTCTGCTGGGGCCATGCAGGGGTCTGCTGGGGCCATGCTGGGGCCATGCAGGGGTCTGCTGGGGCCATGCTGGGGCCATGCAGGGGTCTGCTGGGGGCCTCAGATGGGGGTCTGCTCAGTCGTACATGATGCAGGTTCTACACTGGGACAGAAACAGTCCTGCAGCTGCTCCAACGTAGAAGCTGTGGATCTACGGTTCTTGTTCTCGTGTAGAATTGTAAATTTGCTTCTAAACCGTCGATCATGTCCAATCCAGGATGACTTCGGTAAGAGCACAGTTGTTGCACAGTTGTTGCACAGTTGTTGCACAGTTATTGCACAGTTGTTGCACAGTTGTTGCACAGTTGTTGCACAGTTGTTGCACAGTTGTTGCACAGTTGTTGCACAGTTGTTGCACAGTTGTTGCACCTCAGCTCCTGCAATATTTCATATAGTCACACATTAATTCATGGTCGTCTTCTCTTTACGGACTGCACACAGAGATGGAATACATTTTTCTTGGGGCCAATTGGAAAAGAATTGTCTTTCCCAGATTCATCGTTTTCGTTCTGGGCTCATCTCTCCTCAAGTGGAAAATCTGAAGTAATTGGTTTGTGAATTAAAGAAAGCAAGCAGGGTGAAAAAGTCTATAATTCATTTTGGCCTCTTTGGGAAAGCGGAGTCTTTCGGGGATTCCCATAAACACATTTTTCACATCATTGTGGTGTTTCTCATCAGGCTCTGGGTCAGCTTCTGCAGAGGATTATTCTGCTGTGATTACCCCCAACAACAATGTCCCAGAGCAAATGTCCTCATGGAAAGGCCTGGACAACAATCATTAAAAAACATATTAAACTATTATGTGGCTGGAAAATGTAAATATGAATATGAACGTTCCAGTGTTAATGGTTTGGACCAAACAAGGACAAAACCAGGTCCAGATTAGACGGTCCTCAGACGGAGACTAGACCACCTCAGAGTCAGAACTATACTCAGACAAACGCTGGAAAAATATTTGTTTTGGAATTTGAGTGACCTCAATTTGACCTCAGAATAAAGCATCTCCTCCTCTCCCCTCATCTCCCTCCTCTCGCCTCATCTCCCTCCTCTCTCCTCATCTCCCTCCTCTTCACCTCTCTCCTCCTCTCCCCTCATCTCCCTCCTCTCGCCTCATCTCCCTCCTCTCTCCTCTTCACCTCTCTCCTCACCCTCCTCTCTACTCCTCATCTCCCTCCTCTCTCCTCCTCTCGCCTCCTCTCTCCTCTCCCTCCTCTCTCCTAATCTCCCTCCTCTCTGCTCTCCCTCCTCTCTCCTAATCTCCCTCCTAATCTCTCTCCTCTCTCCTCCTCATCTACCTCCTCTCCCTCCTCTCTCCTCATCTCCCTCCTCCTCTCTCCTCCTCTCTCCTAATCTCCCTCCTAATCTCTCTCCTCTCTCCCTCCTCATCTCTTCTCCTCTCTCCTCCTCTCTCCTCATCTCCCTCCTCTCTCCTCATCTCCCTCCTCTCTCCTCATCTCTCCTCCTCTCTCCTCATCTCCCTCCTCTCTCCTCATCTCTCCTCCTCTCTCCTCATCTCCCTCCTCTCTCCTCATCTCTGCTCATCTCTCCTCATCTCCCTCCTCTCTCCTCATCTCCCTCCTCTCTCCTCATCTCCCTCCTCTCTCCTCCTCTCTCCTCATCTCCCTCCTCCTCCTCTCTCCTCCTCTCTCCTCATCTCCCTCCTCTCTCCTCATCTCCCTCCTCTCTCCTCATCTCTCCTCCTCTCTCCTCATCTCCCTCCTCTCTCCTCATCTCTCTCTCTCTCTCTCTCTCCTCATCTCCCTCCTCTCTCCTCATCTCTCCTCCTCTCTCCTCATCTCCCTCCTCTCTCCTCATCTCTCCTCCTCTCTCCTCATCTCCCTCCTCTCTCCTCATCTCTCCTCCTCTCTCCTCATCTCCCTCCTCTCTCCTCATCTCTGCTCATCTCTCCTCATCTCCCTCCTCTCTCCTCATCTCCCTCCTCTCTCCTCATCTCCCTCCTCTCTCCTCCTCTCTCCTCATCTCCCTCCTCCTCCTCTCTCCTCCTCTCTCCTCATCTCCCTCCTCTCTCCTCATCTCCCTCCTCTCTCCTCATCTCTTCTCCTCTCTCCTCATCTCCCTCCTCTCTCCTCATCTCTCCTCCTCTCTCCTCATCTCCCTCCTCTCTCCTCATCTCTTCTCCTCTCTCCTCATCTCCCTCCTCTCTCCTCGTCTCCCTCCTCGTCTCCCTCGTCTCTCCTCATCTCCCTCCTCTCTCCTCATCTCCCTCCTCCTCATCTCTTCTCCTCTCTCCTCATCTCCCTCCTCTCTCCTCATCTCCCTCCTCATCTCCCTCCTCTCTCCTCATCTCCCTCCCCTCCTCTCTCCTCATCTCCCTCCTCTCTCCTCATCTCCCTCCTCTCTCCTCATCTCTCTTCCTCTCTCCTCCTCTCTCCTCATCTCCCTCCTCTCTCCTCATCTCCCTCCTCCTCCTCTCTCCTCATCTCCCTCCTCTCTCCTCATCTCCCTCCTCTCTCCTCATCTCCCTCCTCTCTCCTCGTCTCCCTCCTAGTCTCCCTCCTCTCTCCTCCTCTCCCTCATCTCCCTCCTCATCTCCCTCCCTCTCTCTCCTCATCTCTCCTCCTCTCCCTCCTCTCTACTCCTCTCCCTCCTCTCTCCTCATCTCTCCTCCTCTCCCTCCTCTCTCCTCATCTCTCCTCTCCCTCCTCTCCCTCATCTCCCTCATCTCTCCTCCTCTCCCTCCTCTCTCCTCATTTTTCCTGCTCTCTCCTCATCTCCCTCCTCCTCCTCATCTCCCTCCTAATCTCCCTCCTCTCTCCTCTCTCCTCATCTCCCTCCCTCCTCTCTCCTCATCTCCCTCCTCCTCTCTCCTTATCTCCCTCCTCTCTCCTCCTCTCTCCTCTCTCCTCATCTCCCTCCTCTCTCTCTCTCCTCATCTCCCTCCCTCCTCTCTCCTCATCTTTTATCTCCCTCCTAATCTCCCTCCTCTCTCCTCATCTCCCTCCTCTCTCCTCATCTCCCTCCTCTCTCCTCCTCTCCCTCCTCTCTCTCCACGTATTTTAAAGTAGCTGTAAAAATACTCATTAAGGGAAACTCCTTCACTCCATCCATTTTCTTCCCCTTAATCCATTTCTGGGTCGGGGGGGTGGCAGTCAGAGCTGCACCCAGTCACAGAGCACCAGCCCCTCACTGATCCTCCTGCAGCTGCTGAGTCCACAGGAGCTGAGATCTTTCAGTGGGGGCTTCAGGCAAAGTGGGGTTAAGTGTCTTGCCCAAGGACACAACGACAGCAGTCATCAGTGGGAGTCGTGAAGTAGGTCTTATGGTGGGCTTGAACCCACGACCTTCAGGCCCAAAGGCCAATGCTCTACCAACTGAGCTACTGTCGGTTATTGATTATTATTAGTATTTTATTGGTTATTATTTCCGTAGTGATTTGTTGTTGATGTGTTTCTCGATTGCTCCGTGAACAAAAGTGTTGCTTATTTATGGAAGCAGCAGCTCTGGACGAATCAAAGCTCTCTGTAAGGTTAATGTAAATAGGCGGTGACACGTTCCCTGCGGCGCTGAAGGGATCTGTGATTACACCAACAAAAAGCAAATCAAAACTGATGCTCGCTGGAAAAATAGCTTATTTTAGACACTTTGCAAAACAGAGAATACATGCATTAAGTATGAGGACTGGAATGTGCAAACTGTGAATATCCCTACACAGTGCTGTACTCTACACATACAGAGGGTTCATTCATGCTCCAGCTCAGAGAGATTAGACAGTTATTGCTTTCTTAAATGCAGTTTTCAGATATTTCCATAGATTCATTGAATCTAGGTCTGGGCTTTGATGCTTAATCTGACACATGGATATTTATTGGTCTTCCACCATCCCATTGTTGCCACACTTTATGTTTAGGGCCATTGTGGGTGTTAGTTACTTTCACATCAGACTTCAGTGTGTTTGAATGGAAACAGGGTATGGATACTTTTGCAAACCTTTGTATGTTTTTGATATTTGGACAGTCACAACAATAAAGTAGCTATAACGCCCCTCTCTATACGTCTATTGGGAATGGCTTTTCTCTATAAAATGAACTTCCAACTGTTGATCTGTCTCATTTGGATGCATGTATTTTTCTCTGAGGCGATAATCCGTGATGTGTTTGTGTTGGGGTTAATCCTTCACTATGACGCTCTCCTCTCTGGTTCTGTGACGGCGCAACGGTCTGTGAAACAAAGCAGAGTGTTCACCTCTGGCTCCTGCACCTCCCACGATCACAGCCCACGGATCAGCAGCTTTTCACTGCAGGGATCACGGCACTAAGAGGATCAGGCCTTTTCTATGGAGTTGTGTGTCCTTTTCATGCGCACGGAGACAGAGGTCCATGTTCTTTGGTTTGTGAGGTCCTCCATCTGCAGCCACACACTGACAGACATGAGCAGGACTTTGCAGAGAGTAGAAGCTCTGGTTTCGAATGAACAATATGGACCCAGGATCGACCCTTGTGGTACTTCACAGGTTACGTCCCTACAACTCCATTTGTGTTGGGTTTGTAAGTAATGTTAATTTGTAGCTCATTTTACAGACCATGTATCCATTTTCTTCCCCTTAATCCATTTCTGGGTCGGGGGAGTTGTGGCAGTCAGAGCACCAGCCCCTCACTGATCCTCCTGCAGCTGCTGAGTCCACAGAAGCTGAGATCTTTCAGTGGGGGCTTCAGGCAAAGTGGGGTTAAGTGTCTTGCCCAAGGACACAACGACAGCAGACATCAGTGGCATTTTACAGACCGAGGTCAGCCAAAAATCTCTCTACAATGTTCATGACAGTGTTGGATACTTAGTTCTGATTAAGAATGAACAATGCTGGTCCCAGGATCGACCCTTGTGGTGCTTCACAGGTCACGTTTCTATAACTTCATTTGTGGAAACACTGGCCTACAGTTGGCTCATGTTGAGTGAAGCAGACAGCATTGACAAAAACTAACATTGATGACATGATTTCTGTAAAAAATGTATTTTGTGCCGTGGAAATTTGGCTAAAAACACAAGAATTATCTTAGAACTAAACCAATACTACATTTTCTGCAG